ATCAACTGACAAACCACAACATTGACTGGGACTCTGCTCAGTGCTTAACCTACAGTACAAACTATTTTCAATGACTGACTCTGGAAAACTGGTACACTAACTTAGAACAAACGCCTCTTAACAGATGTCAACAACTACTGGCGCCTTACAAACGCCTTACAAGAAATGATTACTTACCAATACAAAAGCAAATATGCATTTAACCAATATGGGTGGTAGAGTGTGTTAAAAAAATAATAAACTTTAAAGGTCCCCTAGGTGCAAACATTTCAGCTTCTCAATCCAAGTTGCCAATTTTAGAAGTTCAGAAATAGTGATTTGATTTTTATTTATCTATTCTTTCCTTTGCACAGTTTGTATACCTGAGCTTCCTAAGGGTCAATATTGACTTTTACTATGGGGAGAGGGGGAGCATGTGAAATTATTTCCGTTCGCTGCCTACAACTTTAGGTTTTACTTTTCTTCAGGGCATGTTACTGTTGATGGTATGATATCAAGTTAATTCTAAGTTTATTTCTTGTTTTTAAAAATGTGCTTATTGTTGTTATCAAGGAGTGGTTACTTTTGTAGGCGAGGGTCAAAACTTAATTCTATGCGTTATAGAAAGAAAACAAATGTACCCAGGTGCTAATGGAGTTATCAAGGAGTGGTTACATTTGTAGGCAAGGGTCAAAACTTAATTCTACGTGGTATAGAAAGAAAACAAATGAACCAAGGTGCTAATTGAGAAATTTTGTTTCAGGTGACTGTGAAATGCAAATGTGGGAGACGTTCTGAAAACTTTCCATGCCTTCAAGGTGGTGAAAGAGTGGCTGTTGCTCAAGCATATCAGCGGTAAGGCTTCATAACAAAATAGTAGCACAGAGTAAAGGTGCTGTTACTTGAAGGCTACTGTTGATGTTTATTACTAAGAAACACTGGTGAATCATGGCACTGCACTATACCACATACAAAATTTGCTGACAAACAATTCAGGGAATGGTAAAATGAGATTATCAATAATCAGAGTTAACTAGGAGATCTGCTGTTGGTCGGCAGATGATTGCTGCAGGTAAGGGTAGTTGTGCCATTACTGTGCAGTTTTGCCCTCGTAGTCTCGCTCTGCGTAGCTTTGTCGCTTTGCCTTTGGTTTGCCAAATTTACACCACTTTTTCACTGGTTTATTCATCTGCTGCTTGTTCTAGAGTGCTCTGGTGTTATCGTTCAGCGTTTCTTTCAGTCCTTTGCATTCTCTTTGGCCGTCATGCCTCCTTGACATACCAGAAATAGCTTGGAGAGCTCTTTGCCGGCAGTGTCTTTGGCTCCAGCATTCACCGTTTCAGTCACAACTTATATATTGGAGTGTTTGTTATCCACAGGCCGTGCAAACTCGGTGGTATGTGACTGTTGATGTGTTGTAGATTTTACAAGGAAAAGTTCCTTTGGTCCTAAGTATGCTTATGTAAAGCTATTTTAAAATGTAGAAATAAACTTCATATAATGTCACATGTAACATGTGCATTTTCTACTCTTGGTGTACAAAATGTACTTCCAAATGGCTGTTGGAGTGTGATCGCAATCATACCAAAAAAGCCTAGTGCATGGAAAGATCGATCACAGAAAACCAAATAGCATTTGAATTTTTAATTGCATTTTAATTTATCTGTTCTTATGGCAGTTGTTTTTATGGCAATTTAGACTACGAGTAGTCCCTCTTTCACTTAGTCCATCGTGCGTGATGCATAAGAAAACCCCAAAGAAAAATTTCATGCGAGCATTTTTTTCCTCGAGGTTTACTTATGGTCATGTTCAACTAAGCGAAAGAGGAAATCAAATACTCCTAGTCTAAAGGCGATTCTGTGCTTTGTGAAGCAGAAGTGATTTGTGGGACAAGGTCACTTAGAGTCACTGTCCTTGCTTTGTTTTATGAATCAGTTAAAAGGAGAACGAAGACTAAAAAATCGAAAAAAAAAACACAACAACAATAACAACAAATTGGACAAAATTAATAAAACCACAAACCCATCAAAAATTGATGCAATTTGCACCCAGAATGTATGGAAGTTAATTTTTATGCTTGATTTTAGTATATTTAGGACCAGTAAAGGGGATTTCCCATAGAAAGTCTATTAAACGTGTGAATCAACAGTCAGATGTTGAGTTTGTACCGCTTGTGGATAAATAACAAACATTAGGACATATTGAACACTATTTTGTCACTAGCAGCGCAAAAAGTAAGTCAAGTGTTAGAAAAAAAGTACTCAGTCTGCATGGTCTGCATGGTCTGCACAGTCTGGAGTCCACAGTCTGCAGTCTGCATGGTCTGCGTTTTGGGGTGACCGGATTCAGCCTCCTGCATGGTGGTCCTGGGAATTTAGTTAGATACAGCAGCTCAGATTGCACTCTTTCCAACTGATAAGTTTTCTGCTTTGCAAGAAACTCTCTCCCATTGGTCAACCCACAAATGCTGTACTAAAAAAGATCTTTAATCATTGATTGGTCGGTTGCATCATCCCTGCATGGTGGTTTGGCCAGGTCACACCTTTCTTTGCCAGATGACTTATTTATTGTCCTATTTGCACAATGATTCTCATCCAATACATCTTGTCTTGCTTCAATTTTCAGGCCTTTCATTCCTAAGCGCCACATGCCAAGTTTCCAGTTCTCATCCCTCATCAGCTCTTAGCTCAGCTTTCCATAGTAATCTAGAAGCTTGCTGCCTTTTGTTCATGTACCAAGTTCTTGCTGCTTCAATGCACGGCACCTATTCTTGTGCTCAGAAAAAGTTTGTAAATTTCTGTGTCATGACTGGACATCTGAGCCTCTATGGTTCTCCATGCCCAGCCTCTGAATGGACCCTTTGGCTTCTTGCCACATACCTGGCCGACTCCCAGAGACACTCTTCTATTAAAGTGTTCCTATCTGTAGTGCGGTCTCTTGATGTCAATCAAGGATTCCCTGAGAGCTGCCCTCTGCTTCATAGAGCTGTTAGAGGAATCAAGCATTCCCAGGGTGCCTTACTTTCCAAGCCACGCCTACCAGTTTCAAGTAACATTCTTTGCATTATTTACTCCGCCCTTGATCTCAATTCTTTTGACGATGTTATGTTCTGGGCCGCCTGTCTATTGGCTTATTTTGCTTTTTTGCGGTCTGCCGAGTTCACTGTCCCCAGCTTATCAGCCTTCAACCCGAGCCTCCATTTGTCGATGTCTGATGTTTCTGTAGACGTTCTTCTCGATCCATCTTGCCTTCAAGTTTTTATCAAAGCTTTCAAAACCGACCCCTTTCAAAAAGGGTGTAACGTTTTTATTGGACTGGGCTTGCTGCCTTTGTGCACTGTCCAAGCTGTTGTCTCTTACTTGGGGCACCGTGGTCACCATCCTCGCCCTTTGTTCCTTTTAGAAAATGGTCGACTGCTAACTCGCTCACTGGTCACAAACAGGTTAAGAGCCATTCTCCTTTCTGTGATTTTTCCAGTCACAGTTTCCAACTTGGGGCAGCCACTTCCGCAGCGAGGGCTGGTGTTCCAGATCACCTGATCCAATTCCAGGGCTGGTGGAAAAGTGTTGCTTACAAACAATATATTAGAACCCCACCTGATCTTATAACTCGCACAGCCAAATCATTGGTGGAATAGCTTGGTGAGTGCCATTTAATTTAGTTGCTCTGCAAATTTTTTGTTTCTTGCTTCCAGTAGCATATTTGCTTGTTGGTTGGTAGCCTGGTTTTGTTTTTTGTTGTCTGTTTTTCCTGTAGGTTGTTGTTGTTGTTGTTTGTTTGTTTTTGTTTTGTGCCTGCTTGTTTTTCAACAGGGTGCATTTTTTGTTTGGCTGGTGCCCATTGCCCTCCTGCTGGTTAGTATTCTCTAGCAGCCTTGTCTTGCTTGGAGGGGTTGCCTCCCCTCAGCTATGTACTTGGAGATTCATTGTTTGGAGGGTTGGCCCCCACGACTGCCTCCCATCGGGTGTTCCTTTCTCCAAGCACCTACATCTGTCTTGGAGGTCCTTTATTTTTGGATGTTACCCATGGGAGGTTGCCATGGTTACCCCCTTTATTTGCATTTTGCCCACACTCGCTTGCTCATTGCCTGCTTTGCTGTCAATTGGCACCTACCCTCCATTTTGAATATTGCTTATTGACAAGTTAAATGAGATTATCAATAATCAGATTTAACTGGGAGATCTGCTGTTGGCCAGTGGATGATCACCATGGGCATTTGTAGTGGTGCCATTGCTGTGCAGTTTTGCCTCGTGGTCTTGCTCTGCATAGCTTTGTTGCTTTGCCTTTGGTTTGCCCCCTCCCACCCACCTCTTGGTTCATGGTGGGCCCTTGTGTCCAGGTACATTGTAAGTATACTTATTCTCCACTGAGAATTCAGTGTGACAGGTGCCAGGCGAAGGTGACCCATGGGAGGTTGCCATGGTTAGGCCCTTTATTTGCATTTTGCCCACACTCGCTTGCTCATTGTCTGCTTTGCTGTCAGTTGGCACCTACCCTCCATTTTGAATATTGCTTTTCGACAATAATAATAATAATACTTTATTTATATAGCGCTCTTTCTATCGCTATCCAATAGCACTTTGCAATGAGTTTAAAAAATATATCACCAATAAAAATTAATTTAAGACAAGTTAATGGTGGATTAAAAGGTTGTCGAACAGTGAGACAAATATCTTTTTGTGAGCCTCAGAATTCAGGCTTTCCAGAGATCTTGCCCAGAAAGGAGTCTGCATTCTGGATTCTGGAAGAAACAAAATCTTGGTAGTGTTCCTGGCAAGAACTACGTAATTCTTCTCAAGAAAATTCTATCATAGAAATTTGTGCCAAGAAGTTTTATACTTTTGTGGTCGAAACTCAAATTGTAGTTGGAGTGAGTTATTCCTGTTGTTGAAGTAAACTACTTCATGGTTGACTTTGTGAGTAAAAAGCAACAGATCAAAGCCTCAAGTGGAGACAGCATGACGACCAAACACATGTACAATTGTAAACTCCGAAGGATTTGCAGCCCTCTTCGTCTCAAGTTTGTAAAACTCATCTTGGATATGACTCAAAGAAAGTTTTATTTTCTTGGCTGGGTGAATTTAGAGAGCTGATGGTCTTTTGGGTCATAATTAATTTTACTGAGCCGTTGTCAACATCTCATTATGGATCAAGGTTGGTGTCAGTCAAGACCAACAATATTACTACTAGAATGCTCCACATACAAGGTCCCAATGCCAAAGCTATTAAGAAGAAACTGGAAATGTTTTAATTTGCAGTCTTGCGAGATTGGTGGCAAAGGACAATCAAAAGCTAAGCAAATTGGCAGCCATCTCGAAGACATTCATTCCTCACCACCACAGTGTGTAGCGGCCTCTGATGCAGAGTTTTCCTGTGATGAATCCCTCAGTTCCTCAGGGGATGTTAATTACTTTGAATTAGAAAAACGAGGGTCAAAAATTAAGACAAGGGTTAGCACAATTTTCCAAGCAGATTAATGGCATTAGTGCGGCTAGGAGCAATCCCACTAACAAAGTTGAGACCCTACAGGCAGAAAACTTGTCCTTGGGTTTGAAACTGAAATCCATTGAATTCCCTGCGACCAAGTCTCATAGGTGGAATGGCCATTAGTATTGGGTAGTCTTCTAAGCAACAAACCATGGATTGTCTTTGAGCAAGGGCTGACACCCGACTATCTATGTTTATGTTTTAGTCTTGCCACAGAGTCACTAGCTAACAAGATGAAGGATATGCAATCTGGGCAGTCTGTAGACATCAGCAGCATTATGAAAGTGGATGACAAGAAGTCTAGACTGTGAGTGGGCTTACCCATTATGGGAAGAAGTCTTTTCCTAAACTGAGTTTTTTGCATGCATTATTTCTCCAAAACGGAGCGCAAATCGACCAAAACAATTACGGAATGATGCTTTTCATGTCAAAACAAGTCAGTCTGCCAAGAATTAGCTCAATCCTGAAACAATTAAAATCAGCCCAAAAAGCAATGTATGCCCTTTTTGCAATCAATTGAAAATAAAAAGCTCTGTATTGGCCTTAGTCTTGCTAATTTCAGGGAGGAGGGAGGGCTGGCTACTTTTAAGGTGTGTTGCTACTTTTCAGATTTATTACCAGCCACAATTGTGGACATAAGTTTTGTGGGTTTGTTACTTCTGGAATTTTACTGTGCGGTAATGATTGCTTTAGGCAACTGTTTTGCTATCCAGAGCCACTGTGAGTGAAAGTGCAATCACCTAAAGCATGACCTTTTTCAATGCACCTCATTTGATTCTGTATTAAAATTTGAAACATTAATTATATACAGGTGATAACATTCAATGAAAATCTACATTCACTTAAGGTGGCTCGATCGGATTTTTGAGTAATGATACTGTTCAACTTTGAACCACTAGGGCGCCACCTCAATCAATCCGACAGAAAATCAAACGTTACTGGTGTACTAGAGAAAGACGAAAGTTTCAAATGGGGTACATTTCACCAGGATCTGAGTTACCAATAGGAAAATGATGCCATACCTCATTTTACATAAGACCGAATAACTTGGCAACAGGGATTATTTTGGAAATGTTATGTTGGGATCTCGGACTTGACACAGTTGTCTTATGGCAAATTTTAAAAGAATCTATAAGAGTGTTTTCGAGTGAAGTTTTAAGGTGTCAAAATATAACAAAAACGGAGCTGTTTTAAAATGTTATTCAAACTTTGTCCAGAAAACTTGACTAAATAGTATTCTGGTCTTAAATGAAGTTTATAACATCTAATTACCTGTAGCGAAAATCTCAGAAAAATCACTCCGTTTGACTTTCAGAAACATTGGCTGGAATATCAATTGGTGAGAGGTGTTATTTTACTTTTTATCAAAAATTGCCCCTGCAATTATTATCTTGGGCGGGAATTAAAAAGTACTCGATGAATTTTCTTTAGACTTGGCCCTCAATGAGATTAATCCATACTCAATGCAATCGCAGAGTTTCAAATTATTAGAAACATTTTAAGGCTGCTAATTTTCAGCCTCAACTGAGGAAAATATTTTGCTGATTTTCACTCATGTTTGTTGTCTTCATTATAATTTTCTTTTGTCTTGAATCACCATGCTATCGTACATTTCTGTATATCATGAATTCATAAAACATACAATTGTTTTCTGGCAATTTTCCAGAGCATACTAAAATATCCCAAGTTAGCACTACAATAACAATAAAATATATCTCTTGTTTATGTTTATGCTAAACATAAACAAGACATCCAGCATAGTGATAACCCTAGATGGACGGTAACATGTTAACCTGAGATGAGTGAAAGTGTGACATATATTTTCTATATAGATATATAGTTAGCATGCTTCAGGAAAATCACCAAAAAATATCAAATCCGAGATCCCAACGTCATATTTCAAAAATAATCCCTAATGCCAAGTTATTCAGTCTTATGTAAAATGAGGTGTGGCGTCATTTCATTGCTATGGTAACTCAGATTCTGGTGAAATGTGCCCCATTTGAAACTTTCATCTTTCACTAGTACACCGGTAGCATTTGATTTTCTGTCAGATTGATCATGGTGGTGCTCTAGTCACTCAAAGTTGAACGGTATTGTTACTCAANAATATAAACCTGTTTCCGCCAGATTAGGAAAACATGGAAAAAGTAGATCTTAGCTAGGGTTATTGGAATCCACAAAGAAAACTGGGGGTAGCCATTAATTTTTCCGAGATACTAGCCTTGAGTCTTGAAGAAAACTGCTGACGTTAGCATTTTTCAGAAAAAGAGGAAAAGATATTTCTTCACAGATTTTCCTAGAGTTCGCCTTTACATGCAGAAAACTAAACACATTAATAAACATCTTTAAACACATGGTAAATTGTAACATAAAAATAACTTTTGGAATGTTTTTAAGAACAAAATCGTCGCAAAAGCGCTTTTAGCATCCCTGGACAGCTCTCCTCTGGTTTAGCCAAAATACAGTCTACATAGTTTTTCCTCACAGCCAAAAACTATTCACGTGTTGAATAAGCTTACCACTTTCATTCCAGAACATAAAATGTAGCGGTGACTCCCTGACATGTTTTCAAAAGTTAAATGGGTTGTTACATCCTTTCAAAAACTTTGTTGGTTGCCCGTTACATTTTTTCCTGTGACCTCCCTAGGAAGTCAACACTGACGTCTCTCGTACTTGTTTGGCATGTGCATAAGCCATCTGCAGTTGGATATAATTTCTTTTGTGGGTACAATAACAGCTAGTTTTTCATCTGGAAGCCCTTAACAGTTAGTGCTTAGCGATATGCTGCTTTTCTGGTGTTCCTGGTTTTAGTACACTTTCGTAATTTTACTGCGATATTTGTTTCGGCCACAATAGGAATTTTTTTAAGTCGCACGCTTGGTAGCGTAGTTGATTATTCCAAACCAAGCGCTCGCCTGGCTTTTAAACCATGCCTTACATGATGCACCGTCCTTAACTGCCTTTTGGTAATTTTCTGAGCCAGTTTCCTTTTCTGATGCAAATGTGAAACAGCTAAAAAAATATAAGGAGTTTCAATAAAACGCCACTTACCATTACTTACAGCGCACTCTTTGTCAGTCTGTTGCCGCCTTTTGGAAAATTTGATAGCACTTCTGGCAGCGAAAGACACAAGTGTCCCGTTTTATGTAGTCTAAACATGCTCTAGCCCATTAGTTTTCCCCCTAAATCTCGTGTGTCCTGTCACTTTTTTACCCAAATATCCAGTATGGTGAAAACCCCTAATAGGGCCTCATTGATGAACTGGTACACCTTATCAAGAGCCTGATACTGTCTATCGTTTTTTTTTTTTCTCTTTTTATTACAATGCACGTCCCCCCCGCCCCCCTCACCCCACTAAACATAACCTACAAAATACCTCAAATTTCCAAGCAGTAGTTCATATTCAAATCATTCCAGGAAAGCGAGTTACTTGTTTAGCCACTGAAATGTGTAAAATGGCTTTGAAGCTGGTTATCACATTTTTACCTCCTACCCACCTTACCCCTACCCATTGGAATATGCATTTGTTATGTGTAACACAATCTGGAATGATGGCGAGTGCACAACAGATTGAAACAGAACTGAGCTTAAACAAGTTCTTGATGAGGAGGAGGATTTTAAAGGTTGCTAACAGACTTTTGGGTCAGTTAGGATCTCAGCAAATTGTTAAACTTCTTGTAAATCGCAGTTTATGAGACAAAAGAAATCTACTTTACCGTTTTGATGTCTCAGAGTGATTTCAAACAGTGTTAATCATCGAAAATGCAGCTGAAACCTACTGATAATATAACATGAGGTATCGTGGAACACCCAGTTGTCGTCATGTCACGAGGTAAGTGGAACATATCATTATTTTCTTGGTGTATCATTATTATCACATCATTATGCTAATTAGGACGGCGGTCTTTGTTGACAAAAGTACAGCTTAAACTTCTTCTTCTAACATTTTACAGTTTCAACCGCCCCAAAATTTTATTGCATATTTTTACAGGGAAGACATTGCTTTTTAAGTGGAGGGTAGTTTTGGGATCTCAAGTGATGTACTATTGGCGATATTTTCATTTAAATTTTGCCTTTTTTATGGCGCTTCATGACTAGTTCGAAAGGGAAGAAATTTAAAATTTTGTAAAAAAATCAGATGTTGATGAAACTGCCAAAACAGCCTCTCAATGTAACAAGAAACATTTGCTTGTCTCGAATAAAGGATTTTACCCGGATTTCTAACGTTTTCTTTGTGTGGCAAATTGTTAAATGTGCCCTAAAATGGCCACTGAAAGCCCTCTCAGAGGGGCAAAACCAAGATGGTCACCCCAGGGCTAAAATACTGATCGAATTGAACTGAAAGTTATATTTTTGTGAATCACTTATGTAGAACATTCATCTGAGAAAGTTTGAAGAATTTGATTTTTTCTTGTCCAAATGACCATAGTTGACATTTACTGATGGCGGCTCTTAAAAATTACATTTGAGTTATGTATTGCGGCCCACAGTATAGTATTAACAGAGTTTTATTTTAACTTATCTTATTTTAGAACAATCTCTAATTTGGATCTTAGGGAAAAAATGTAAAATGCAAGGGATCTTGGGAAGGATGAAAACCCATCATCTCCCTCATCTTGAATTATATATTCTCTCTGGAGACAATTGGGAATCAGAGCAAGCCCCTTTACCCAGGCTTGGTTTCCTGGGATATGCAAATCCTGATTCAAAGATTATTATTAATAAAGGATCATGACACAGGTTAAGTAAGATTTCTTAACTTAATGAAAACTGATAACTATATTTTGTTATTCTTGTTTCTTTTTAATAGACGGTTGGCAGAAGCACTTAATATTGAGAATCCTGATCTGTCCCCAGAGGTTACTATACGATTTTCACCATTTCTGCTCGCTGAGGCAAAGTAAGTTACGTTATGATTGTCCTTAAGGACTCTTCTAGATGATGTTGACGTTAGTATTGAGAACTAACTTTCAGAAATGAATTTCTAAGTTGTGCATGTTTAAGAAGTAACTAATTGAGTGACATTTGAGCATTCCTGCCTTAAAAGAGCACAGAAAACTAGGCAGTAGTACTGAAGTGTCTGTGATTAATTTTTACCTTTTATTAGTGTCACATACATGTATAATGTCAATTATCTTCCCTGTGCAGCTCAGATGAGATCACACTATAAGTTTCATGTAAAATTGCTGTCATCATAATTTCTTTATGTCATTCACCAAAGTGGTATAGATGCCCACCTTTTGATGTTATCAGCTGACAGCTTGACTTTAAATTCACTGGGGTTACTTTTTTTCATACATTGACTTCACCATTATACAGGAAACAAAACTCAGACCAAAACTGAACACTGATGAACTACCTAGGACAATTTAAAACAGTGCACAATGGAAGGTTGAGAGAGCATGAGATTAGCATAAGAGTTGTTCATGCTGAAGCTAAACTAAGAAAATGCCTGGCTACTAAAGCAAGACTTTTTCACTTAAGTAACGTCCAGTTAAAAATGCATATTACAAGCTGCAATTTTGCAAGCCTTATTCTCGTAATGAAAACTTAAGTGTCCATTGAAAATAATCTTCTTGTCAGCCCTTAAAACTTTTTACCAGTTACTCAAGGAAACATAGGCACGCAAGGCGTGCAAGAGTTATTTTTTTGTGACTTAAAAGCCCTGGATGTAGCAGTACTCGGTGGACTCTTAACAGTTATGATAAAGGTAACTCATTCACGTATACTGGTCCCGGATTCCATTCAACGGCATTATAGAGTTTAATATTTTTATACAACCTTTGATGATTGTTGTCCCTAAATATCTCACAACAATTCTTCAGAACAACCCTTTTCCTTCTTTTTCTCCTTTTAGCTGATATTCCAACGAAATACTTAATAAAACAGACATGCTGTTTTCAAATACTACGTTGTCTGAACTTGTAAAGTATAGACGACCTTGGAACAGCCCCAGTACTCTGTTAAATAAGCATCTTATCTTTCTATTTTTCTGTATAGCAATGTTAAGTTTGGAACAGATTCTTGAAGGCTCTCGACATCTAAGCTTACGTCTTTCAGTCATCCCTTTGCATCATCCGCTACACACGAAAATACGATATTTCAATCTTACACCTTTTAACTCATTTGCAAAGCATCTTGTTCCCTCGATAATTACTGTAATCGATCAAAGACATGAGCTTAAAATCCCTAGCTTTTGCACTCAATCCTTCACTTGTTTCACATTTAGGAAAGACTGCTCTTTCTCTAAATTTCAATAAACTAACACCTCGAATCTTTGTTGATACCTCTTCACACACATACTCAGTTTGAACAACAGTATCTGCAGCTTTACCAATATCCACGTCTCGCTGATCTACAATTGTTTCTCTGCCATCCTCTTTCTTTCATGCGACTACCATAGCAAACATCTTGTATGACACCACACGTACCATACGAAATATTCCCAACCAACCTCGAGATAACGTATATGTAGGCAATGACGAGATTTCTTACCATTTCTGCAACAGTTTGTAATAACCACAGAAGTAACTTCATGATAACACAGATGAGTACTTTCTACAATTTTCACTTCGGTCAGCAAAATTAGCCCGTCCAAAACGAACACTCGAATCACAATTTAGTGTTGGGTATTTTGCTGACAGCGTGTGCGTTGTAAGCAGCTGAGCATCACACAAAATACTTTTCATATGTAATTCTCCCTGGATATAACAATGTAAAATATTTAACTGAACAAACTACAGTAATCTGATACATCTCCAGATTAATGTAGGTACCATCATATTTTCTAACAGCTAATTTGATTCATTGTTTGATACAACCCACACTGTGATTGGTGTGACGCACGCACAATGTTTGACTGAACAAACTACAGTAATCTGACACGTCTCCAGATTAATGTAGATACCACCTTATTTTTTTTCTTTGATTTGTTCTTTGATA